CCCCCCCCCCCCCCCCCCCAGTAAAAAAAATTATTATGCCAGAGACGTGTGACCGGGAAGAAGCCCAACGACATACACACTACCAAACGGCACATCGTCCCAACCTCCCGAACACGTCCACCACAACCTCCATCAGAACGCCGGACAGACCTCTACAAGCTCTTGGAAACCAGAGGTTGGCGGGAGAAGCTCCCCCCAGTCGCCCAGCGCCCCGCACACCGCCACAATGTACCGCGTCCCGTGGCGCAGAGGAGCCGCGGGCTGAAGCACGGCCAGCGGTTTCTCAGGGTCGAGGGCGTCCAACTGTAGATGATTGCGTAGTTTTTTTTTTTTTTTTGGTGTTGGTGTTGGGTGGTAAAGGGGGTTAGCGAGGCAAGCAAAATGAACGGGAAATGTTGGGTGCTACCTTGTTGGTTGGTTGCTAGAGAGTCAAGCAAAAACAGATCAAGATGGAACGCTTCGCGTGTTGTAGGGCGAGAACCGCTTCCGGCACGAGATTCTCCCGCAAGGGCTGCTAAACATTCGGGGTGTCTAGTTACCAGGGAGGAAAATTTCTGATAACCCACCACGTCTTCCAGTTCAAATTGAGTGGGGCCCGTGTTTCGCTCCCGCAAGGGCTGCTAAACATTCAGGGTGTCTAGTTACCAGGGAGGAAAATTTCTGATAACCCGTCTTCCAGTTCAAATTGAGTGTGGCCCGTGTATCGCAGGTACACTTGCACAACACAAGGCGCAGCCTGCAAAAAAGACAAAACCATATATGAACCATAACCGAACGATAAAAAGTGGTGTATAACCTCGGCGAAGTGCGGGACCATCCCGCCCGTGTCGGCGTCGATGAGCCAGGTGGTGGAGTTGGCTTGCAGCGAGGCCCCGATGTCCCCGGGACCGGCGAACCCGCTCGCCGACATTCCCTGTCAGCATTTTTCGACGCCACCCGGAAACTTAGGTTCGTTTAGATGCGGCTTGACCGGCACAACATGTCGTAGATTTCGGGGAAGCTGCTATTCGGGCGTAGCAGTCCCCGAAAATAGGGAGAGCTTCGGGGGGACCTACCGACCGACCAATTACAGTAGCTCCAAGTTTGGGAAAGCTGTTCATCGGACAGCATCAATTAAACCTGACATAAGCGAGTACGATGTTATAAAGGGTGAGACGAGGTTCATTGGAGAGCAATGGTGCCGCTCGGTACTGCTTGCTCCGGGACAAGGCAGGGGGTGTGGGTGAGAATCGCCGCGCTAACCTCCACCACTCTCTGGCGGAGGATTGTTTGTCACCCGGAACAAAATAACTACTTGAGATGGTTTCTTTTTCAGCACCCGTATCCTCAGCGTTCTTGAGAAATTGACGACCGAAAGCCACACGATTCCGAGACAAAATAGCTTCGATGCCCCTCGGGATAAACCCTTCGTCCTTCGTGTTTGACGCCCGCGAACAACACGACCCGTCTGTCCCATGGTAGAGGGGGCAGTGCATGCTTGGAATCTCGATGGGCCGCAGACAACAACGCATTCTCCCTTTGACTGCGTACCCCCGTCCTCTTCACCCACCTCGAGGTAAAACAAGATGGGTGCGAGCGTCGAGAAACCGTCGTAGGCGTTAATCGAATCCGGGGACACGTTCATCCGTCCCCGGGTGTACGGCAAGCTCTTGGGCCCGAAGGACACTCTGTACCCCGTCCCTCTCGCCGCCGCCGTCGCCGCCGAAGTTGACGATTCTGACATGTCCTCCTCCAAGAAAAAGGAGGATGGGAAGGGCAGCGCGCAGAGGGTGGTGTCGAGCGGGTCGCAGTGGTTGTAGTGTTCGGCACCTGTTTTCGGTACATGAACGGGAGGGAGGGGGGTGAAAAAGAGGAGGTTCCAGCGGCGCCTTATCTTCAGTTCTGTCTGCTCATCAAGAGAAGCGCGTTGACAAAAGGGAAGAGGAAGCGGCTATTTAGCACCCGTACGTGACGACCAAAGTGCCAGAAACACAGCGAAAAGAGAAGAAGCCGCCGACAAGTTTTTCAGAAACAAAGCGCGTGGGCACCGAGAACACTACACCTCGTCCTGGAAAAAAGAACAAGAACGTCTTCTTTGTCCGCCACCGTGACACGGTTACTTTCCCCGTCGGGGGGGCATCTACATGGCCGCCGTCACGACCCCTCCCCAAAACAACCACAACCCACAGCGGGTGCTCTACTCGACGGCGCACCACGCTCACTCCCATCCACGTGCCCATCAGAACGCCCCCCAACACCACCACCAACGCTGCGTGTGCCCTACTTATGGCACACACTCACTCCCGCCAAACGCCTCCTAACAACACCACCACACGCTCACTTTCGGTGTCGACCGTCAAGCAGAGGATGTAGCTCCCCGCGCCGATGGCCACGAGCAGGCAGGACCCGGCGAACAGCAGCGTCGCCTGCCGGATGGCCAGCCGCTGCATCTTCGGCGACATGGTATAGTGCCAGGGGGGCTCGTCCGTGTTGCGGAGCACGTACACCAGGCGCGATCGGGACTGGCGGCGAAGGAAAGGAGGGGACGCGGTCAATGGGTTGTCTGTATTTCGAAAGCGGAGAGAGTTTGCAGGATCCGATAAATAAAAGTCTCCAATATCTTGCTGGCCGCTAGTTCTTTGTCGTGTGCTGCAGCATCACATGCCAATCACTTGTTCTGATTACCCTTCACTTCCAAACGGAACGGCGGGGTTGCGAACAAAAAAGTGGGGTGGATGGACCAGGAAAAACAAGAGGATCAATCACCTGTAGGACCATGTCCAACAAAGCTCCAACACAGCGGCACGACAACAAAGCTCCAAATCAGCGGCACGCCAACAGCCTAGACGAGGAAGCACAGAGGCAACGTACCAGTAGGCCTTTCTGCCACCCGGCACCCCAATCTCCCCCCCCTGCGCCGTTCCTAGTGCCTGGCGCCACCCAGATATAAATTTGTGCAGTTGCAACGGTCGAGCCGCGGTGGCTCTCTTCGAATGAATGGCGCCTTGAATAATCGACAAGAGAGAGCAGCACTTCTCACCGCTGTTGAAAAAAGCTTATCCTAGACTCCTATCTATGAATACACAGAGATGGATTCTTCGTGTTACATAGTAACAGACAGTATAGAGTGAAGGAGCATGTTGGGCATATGTACGTAAAAAGTACATACTTCGAAGTATGCCTTCTAACGTAGCCCTCAGACAAAAGGAAGTTACCAAAACGGCGCTAGATAGCTTCAGCCCAAAAATGCGCTCACCCTCAGATAGGCCCCGATCGTGATCGCCGCTAGCACCCTGACGCCCGACGCCACCCCGCTCAAGACGGCCGCAGAGGTCAGGGCGGCGTGCATGCCCCGCCATTCGGGGGCCACCTTCATGTGAAAACACAAGAAACATCGGGAGATAGATGTATGTATACGGGGCATGCTTTGTTCATGACTTCGTTGTACCAACCACGACCAAGACTCTCTTCATCTCCAGACTGTCGCGCTGGGCACCCACCGTTTTGACATGAGCAAAACAAGACCGTACAAATCCCTACATGCCAACGGGGGCACCGCAGAGTGAATGACACGCACCGTGCCGTCCGCCTCCACCGCGATGGCCCACGCCGCCGCCAGCACGGCCACGGTGAAGGCGGCACACCAGGCGGCGTCGACCAGGCTGTACGCGAGCGCGAGCGCGGCAGAGGTCCGTCGAGACAGCCCGAGCCGGAAGCAGCAGGCGGCGCCGCCGCCGCAGGCCTCGTCGTCTTCCTCCGGCCGCCGCCGGGCCTGGGCGATGGTCCGGCCCGCCCGCAGCTGCCGCTGGAACTCCACCTGTGTTCGGGGATGAGAACGGACACGTTCTGGAGATGGGCACGATTTCTTGACGACTTTGGTTGTATGTAATAGCAGGCCTCTGCAATGATGCCTCCCTTTTGCTCGGCTGTTGTCGTCGTTTTCGACTTGTTGACCTTTTGGCGGGGGTGCTGCCGTGTGTGCGTTCGGGCAGACCCATGCCTACCGGCTGACCGAACAACGTTTTGTCCAACGCGTCGACAAAAAAAAAAAACACGCACACGCACACGCACACGCACACGCGCATGCACAAGCGCGGTCGATGCTCACAACATTGATCCACACACACTTTTAACTGAACGGGTGCCTGGTCCGCAGTTTTTTTCATCGTCACATTACTGTTGTACGCCGGTCGCAATACATACAAGCGCACCTGAGAAGTAGGGACCGGGGGGGGGGGCTCCCCTTCCCCGTCCCCCCTGGCCACCAGCAGCGGGATCAGCGCGAGCAGGGCGTCCAGCAGCAGGTGCACGGCCAGCGGCAGCGCGAAGAAGGATCTGCCCAGGTGTCGGCGCAGCTCGATCGCGGCCACCAGGGTCACGGCGGCGGAGACGGCGGTGCCGAGGCACAGCAACCCGCACAGGGTTTTCCACAGGAGTCGCAGGTGTCGCCGGAGCAGGGTCGATTGCGTCTCGCTGCGCTCGAAAAACAAATTTTGCATCGAATGCATACGAATCGATGGGTTATGCAATGAATGCCTTTATTTATAGTGCGCTGGTTTAAAGTCAGCGATGTGCTCGGGTGCCTCTTCGGCTAGGACAAAAATTAGATAGGCCGAGAAGTGACGAGTATGCTTTTGTGTGCTGGGCTGTGTGGGCTAACCTAGGTAAAAGCACTGCTACCCCTGCCCCGGGTGGAGAAACCGCTGCGCGCCTGGTTTCTACAGGAGTCGCAAGCATTGCCGAAAGAGCGGCTAGAATATTCTACAGGGTGGTATGCCACTATTCTACCGAGCGGTATGCCATAACCTTGAGGTTGGCCGAGAGGGGGGGGGGGGGGTACTCATAGTCGTGCATGCCGTAGTCGTTAGACCATTGACCTCGCATCCCTACAAAGCCGGGACGGAGCACGCCGG